CAATTCATGTAGAAAAAAAGGCTTATTTTGACACTATTGTGTGGTTAAATGAAAAGGATATTAAATCTCTTGGTGCTCTGTGTTCGAGAGTGAGGTGAGCTGTGAAGTCATCTGTGACATGGTTGGGATCCCCTCCGGGCAAGGCAGCGCATATTGGACAGATCTGAAAAAGAAAGATTGAGCTCATCATACAAACTGGCATGTCTGCATGGAGCAACTCTTCTACCTCACAAAAGGTTTAGGGTACACACACACACACACACACACACACACACACACATATATGTGTGTGTGTGTAAAAGCTTTAACTGTTAGGCTAAAGAATATACTTTATTAAACTGCTATTGCCATTAACCTTTTTTGACCAGTCAGGGCCAATGAGTAGAAAATTGTGGTCAATCACTTGGTATGAATCTAAAAAAAATTAAAACCTTATTGCTACAGAAAACGAATCTGTACAGGATAAATTAAACAATCAAAAAGTGGAAAATGCTGACTTCATTTTAATTTCCATTTCATCTGGCAGTAAGAGTCATGAAGAACACAAATACTAAGTTAAATAATAAGTTAGCTCTGGTCACACGCTTCAATGGCATCTTTTCACCCCCGCTCTCAAGTAGCTGTTGGTCAGACAACCTACTAGGCAGCCAGGTGTCAGCAGTATGAGCAGCCTGAGCCTTTGTCTTGCTTTGCTCAGCAGTGGAGAATGCTCATAAAATGCCACTGAATAGCTGAAGTGTAGTAACTGAGAATTACAATGATGACTAAATTCAGAGCATGCCAGTGGATAGCAGAGGTAAACTAGGATGCTTAGAGAAATGAGGACATTTCTAAGCTTATAATAGTACACAAAAGTCTACTGAGCAGTTCCGTTTGTGCAGTGAGTGTACTCACCACCTCCGTGGAAGTCTCTGAATGCTCTGAGGTGACATGCTCCTGTAAGGATGTCTCTGTGAAGCCCATCTTGCCACAGTAAGGACATGTGAACGACTGTGGCTGCTCTACTGAAAAAGTGTCTCCTCCATAGTACAAATCTGCAAGAAGATGATCAAACACAACAGCTCTTATTGATGTTCATCACTATTTTGATGATTACTTTCAATAATCAACAATATTTATCGCTGAAAATGTGCTGAATGGCTTGTAATCACACTTTGGAGTCCTTAGCAGTATCACCATCCCGTACAACAGGCATGGCGATCATGCATATAATCAGAAACCCACAGAGTAAGGTCTTTACCATAGTCTACCCTGGTTAATATACACTGCATGGGGTGCTCTGTGGTGTGCCTTGTTGTCGTGGCTCCGCTCTCGTAGCACGACGCGCACAGGTCGTAGTCGTAGCAAATTAAACACTTGAACCGTCTTCCTCTAAAGTTGCCCTTTAAACACGCATCGCAGCTCACACCTGCAAAACAGAAACGGAGAATAGGAAATAAAACACGTGGGCCTGACAATACTTTCACAAATTCCTTATAAAGGCGTCTCAGAGGCTGACTGTGAGAAGGCGATCCCATATCTGCAGGCCAGTCTCACTTACACAAGCATGCGTTTTGGAGTGGCACCAACCAACAAGTGCCAGCAATGAAGAACGCTGACATTCCAGCAGACTTCACAACCAACTCAGATTTATCTGAAAGCAGCTTTCATTGCTCACTTTTAACACAGTTCACTCTTTTTCAGGCAGCAGGCTGCTCCTTGTTTTTTTTATCCCCCCCCCCAAAGATCGACAACACCTAAATTTGGGGGGGGGGGACTGGGCATAGGCAGAAAGGGGGAATAAAAAGCTGTTTTCAATGAGACATCATGCTGACATTTCCTGACATTACAGAGTGCCTTATTTGGCAAGTGTTAGTAAATATGTAAACAAGTATTAAGGGAGTTTTCTCTGACTCATCTCACATCTAACAACAGAGACCTGAAGGAACAATATGCACAAAAGATATCTGTTATTAAACAGATGCTGACATAAAGAAACCAAACTGCAACAGGCCGCGTTGGGAGTTACTTTGAGGCTTGGTTAGACAGAAGCAAGCTCAACAGGATAAGTAACTGAGTATCTTGCTTAAAATGAATTTTAACCATCTGCACAATCCTAGTCTCAGCTGAAAAACTAACTGGTCCAGCAGAGGACCACGAAGCAGATTATTAGATACCTCTGTTGTACCTTGAACATATAACCTCAGATAATTCACCCTCGGTCCAAGAATGGTTAACAAAGCTACTGCGATCATGTCTGCATTATAGTGCTTCTTTTAAAACTTCTGAGGCAATTTGACGGGACAACACCTGGCAGGTCTTGAAATGTTTGAATGAAATTAGCCAAAGCTGAAGTTTTCGGTTACACTGATCGTAACTTAAACCCTTCTTACGAGCAGGCTGCTAGTTAGCCAACTTAGTTACTGGTTATACAGTCAGAGGCCTTAGACTTTCAGTCTTCTTGATGACAGTGCATTCGCTAACAGCAGTGTGTGACCAGACGGGACAGTATGGCGCTAATTGAATAGCTCCAAGCTCTCAATGAATAAATACTCTGAATATGAGCAAAATGTTGTGACAGCAATATCGGGATGTAAGACGCTGAATAACATATCAGTGCCGGTATAAGTAACGAAAAAGTCACAGCTAAACCAACGACTCCTTGAATTAGCATACATTAGCTTGCTCGCTAGCCCGGCTAATGTAAGGTAACGCAGTACCTAGCAACGGCTAACTGCTGCTCTGCTGCCGTATTTTTGCGAACAGGTCGAGTGAAGTAAAAACGCTCCAGCCTCGATTTAGAAAACACGAGACAGGTGTGTACAGCAGAACTGCTGACAGTAAACACACACGACAAGGGACAAGCCTAGTAACACACGGCGAAAAGCGCAACAACCCTCTCAGACATGAGCAAGCAGTTAGCAAAGCTAGCCCCAGAAGCTAGCTGCTCAGGTAATGTAGCCTTCAACCGGGGCGCCGTGGACCTGTTTATCAACTCACCCTCATGTCGGGACATCCTACAAACAGCGACACAGCCCCCTCCTCGGGCTCCCCAACACGTCTAATGGGGAACGATGCAGTTTTTGAGTCAATAAACTGAAAAATCCTTCAGCCTGGTCTGTTTTTTCAGGCAAGATGGATCCCCCAGCAGCTTACAGTTTGTACTGCTTCCCCTCCCAGTGTCACTTATGGGTGAGTGCTGTGAATGAACACTAGGCGGCGCTGTTTGCTATAAAATCACTCGACCCGGACTGTGCTGCTGTGATGCACCAATTCTTTAACCACATTTTGCCTGAAACATAGCATAAGTTATATGTTTAAACAAAAGAGTTTCTCTCAGCATAAAAAACAAATACATTTTTAAGGGCCTGTGTCCCAGATAAATCCTTTTGTTTGTGACACATGACTGAGGTTATTAGCACATTAGATTGCTTGCATTGCAATTTATTTGACCATTACTTTTAGATGAACAGCGTCAGTGCATACTCCTTATTTTGTCATTATAAAAGAAAACAACAATATATAGCTACACTACAGGACAAAAGTTTTCAGAACATCCCAATTTATTTTCCAGTTATTTATTGCAATTCAAGCTGTTAAAGTCCAATGAATAGCTTAAATGGTACAAAGGTAAGTGGTGAACAAAACGCTAAGGTTACCCAAAAGTGAAAAACAATATACATTTCAGAATCATAAAAAAGGCCCTTTTCAGGGAACACAAAATGGGTAAACAATTTAAAGCTGCTCTGCAGCAATGGAGGTTCAAAAACTGATGCTACTAATTCCTACAGATGTTCCAACTTTTCTGGATTACTTACAACCCCCTTTGACTGCATAAAATCAGCGTTGAAACACACTGTGGTACCATACCCTCGTGAGCATCAGTTGAACAGTATTGTACTGCAGAAAGTAGTGTGTTGCTACAAAAAGGGCTAGAAAAAGGCAATTAACAATGGAAGAGAGACCGACCATCATAACACTTCAAAATGTAGGTCTTTCCTACAGAGAACTTGCAAAAAAGTGTCAGTGAGCACAGTTTCCTTTACCATCAAAAGGCACTCAGAAACTAGGGCAAACTGTCACGGGAAGCGGTCTGGCAGACCCAAAGCCACAACTGAATCAGAGGATGAGTTTCTGAGAGTTAACAGCTTGTGTGATACTGCCTATCATCACAGGACAACAGCTTCAAGCACAGCTTAATAGTGGTGATAGTAAGCAAGCCTGCGTTTCACCTGTGAAGACAAGACTTCAAGCTGCAGGTTTGACAGGACGAGTTGCAGCACGAAAGCCACTGCTAACACGTCAGAATAACACAAAGAGAGTTGGGCCATGAAACACCGCCGTTGGACTACTGAAGACTGAAAGAAGGTATCATGTTCATCACGTTCATACAGTCACATGGTACGAACTGAAATTAACCCACAGGTTATGTATTTATGCATGAAGACATGCTTGAGACCACCTGAAGTTTGAGGTTGGCATGATTGATAGTGTTGGTCTAAGTATTTTAGAAACTGATGATGTGAAAGTTTACTGGGATTTTTCTGCGAACACCTCTAAGGTTTACACAGAATCATCATAAAAAGAGAAGATAACCATTGAGTGGCAGTTCTCTGGATGATGAATGTATAACCAGACTGCTTTGAGATGATGGATCCATCTAGCCTTGTGTCAAAGGTTCTGGTTGCTGGTGGTAAAATGGTGTGGAGGATAATTTCTTGGCACACTTTGGGACCTTCAGTACCAACGAATCATCATTTATACACCACAGCTACCTGAGTATTGTTGCTACCCATCTTCTGATGGCTGCTTCCAACAGGATAACACCATCTGGCAAATCTCAAATCATTCTTGAACATGATAGCGAGTTCACAGTGCTCAAATCGCATCCATAATCTCCAGATCTCAATCAGTAGAGCACCTTTGGGATGTGGTTAATGACAGATTGGGAGCAGTGTATTAAACAGATCACAGTTCTGATGCGTGCTTTGTCTGAACAAAATACAAGAGAAATGGTGATGTTCTTTATAAAAATTATTTATTTTTTTGTACATCAGATTCAGTTCATATATCTGTGCTAATGAGGACACATACACTCTGACAAACCAGTGCATTACAGTGAAGATTTCACAGCAGTGTAGAAGGCTGGGCTGGAGCTCACTTTGCTTGCTACAGTTCCTCGGAGTTGTGATCTGTAAGTAAGCTCTGACTGAACAAAGAGAGGTGAACTCCACCCTCGTGCGTGAACCCAACGTGGCCACACAATCCAAAAATTGACTAACAGCTACACATTCTCTATATACAATTTATTACATGTGCTTTAATGTCACCAGTGGAGTGAGAGCTGAGGAGTATTAAGAAACAGAAGAGCTGCCTCTTATTGTTGCTTATTTCCCTCAGCATTAAGACATAGTTATGAGGGGAAAACGCTACAAAAAGAGGCTAGAATATGTTTCTCCTCAATTCAGATTATAATCTCTTCTAAAATATCGGGCAGCTGTGCAAACTTTGGAAACAAAAAGGTACAAATAAGGTACTTTAAAGCAAGAGAAAGCCTAGAGTGTGCTATGCTTTGTGCACACTACAGCCACCAGAGAATCCCTTTACAACATAGAGGAAACTAGTGAACAGTTGGACATATATTTCTAAACTGGATGATTATTAAGTTCCTATTTTGCAAGTTAAAAGGAAATCAAAGTATCTGCTGTGATATCTCAGCCTCGGCATTCAGAACACAGTCATTCAACAGGTTCGAAATATCATTTTCAATCAAATGAAACCAAAATAGTGGATACAAACCCTCGTCTTTATATATATATATATTTCACTACGGAGTAATTATACTTTCAATACTTTTAATCAAAAAATACCATTATTTACATATCTGCATACATCTTAGCACTGAAAATGTGACAAAAGCCATATCATTTTCTCGAGTGTAAATTGTGTATATTTATGTCATTATTCATGATATTTGTAGCACCTGAGCAAAATCATTTCTCTGACCACCGATCTGAAAACCCCCCAAAAAACAAACAAACATTAAATTAAATCCAAACACGATCCTGTACATGTTAAGCTTTACATTTGTGACCAGATATATTTACAGTACAATCAAAGATTTGGATTTTGAGGACGCGGCAGTCTGTATCTCCATGGTAACCGAGGTGATGACAGATTAATTACAGACTGCAACTTTTCTTAAGTAAAAAAATAACAATTGCATTCAGGTTTTGGTCTTTAACAAACATTTTGACATTAAAAATGTGCCATTTTATACTGTTTAAATTCAGCAAGAACAACAACTACTTAATACCTAATACAGTGTTTCAAAAACCTAATCAAGCAAAAGAGTTTCACACAAAGGTGTAAGCTATCAGACAGACTGGTCCAACACACGGAAAGTTCACATATTGTCTCAGAAGCGTGCATAAAAGTAGCAACTTTGGATCCTCATTGTGAAAAAACCTGAGTACTTTTTTTGCCTCTAAAGCTGGAGTGCAGCTGCAGGAGCTCTGAAGCCTTTGGATTTCTGCTGTATGTCACAGAGTTAGTTGGTTAGATGGTGCTTTTTTGGCCAACTTGGTGCCTTGCAAGTGATGGTCTCCTCCGTCCCGCCTCTGGCTCCTCTTCTTGAACTGCTTGATGGGACTTGATGCGTACTGTTACTGTTTGTTGGTCATGTTGAACAAATAGCATGTGCAAATACTTCTGTATAGTCAGTGTGTTCGTCTCCGCGTGTGAGCCAGTTTCATTTCGGCTCCAGTGTTATAATCTAGCGCTTGGAAAATCAAAGAGTTGAGAAGTATTTGCAAGCTTTACCTGATAAATGCCAGTGCAGGAATCAGTGAAGATAATGCTGTTTGTGTTGTTTTGTTTTCCAGGCAGTCAATCTGTCACAGCACTAATATCAGTGGGTCTTATGGCATTTCCTATGTCTGTCTGTTAGTTTGTAGGTCCTGATGGTGGGTGGCTGTTTGGATACGTCACTCTGCCTCTTCCTCCTTTGGATAGTCCCTGGATTTTCTCTTGAAAAAGCCAAACTGGAAGAGCAGAAAAGTGAGTCACAAAACCACTCAAAACAGAAAAGGATACTTTGACATTTTTGGACATATGCTTATTAGCTTTCTTGCTGAGAGTTTCTGTCATCATCTGTCTTAAAATCAGGATTAAAGCATAAACTTTACATAAACCATCTTGTGGTTACCACGATTTTCCCTGCTAGCGCTATGGCCGTACATGTTTTGGCTTTTTGGAGCCAGAAGTGATGATCTTGAGACAAAAGTTTTATCAGCTAACAATATAAAGCCCAAACACACATAGCCATTTCAAACACTTAAGTTTTTTAGGCATCCATCCATTCTCTTTCACTTATCCAATTCAGGGTCCAGGGGGGATGACAGGAGCCTATCCCAGGGTGAGAGTCGGGGTACATCCGATGGTACAGGGCTAACAGAGACAACCATTCACACACCTATAGGCAATTTATAATCCTCAATTAACCTAATCCTGCTAATTGCACGTTTTCGGACTTTGCAGGTACTCTGGAGAGAAGCCACCACTGTGACGTAGCAAGCTAACCACTATTCCACCACAATTCTTTTGAGTGTGCTCTGCAGTGACAAGATGTCACACGGTCACAATGATTTGAAATAGTTTGCAGAATATTACCTTCCACAGAATGAAGATAACGAGTGCTAAGATGAGCAGTCCTATCAGGATACTGACGATAATGATCCAGAACGGGATTCCTCTGACAGTATCTTTGGAAACCTGGATACTGACCTGTTTAGAGGAAAAATACAGTACATACTCTAAATATGCACATATATGTAAACATACATAAGCATTTAATGATAATGAGATGTCACATGGTTACTATACCAGAACCTTCTGACTTACACTTCTGGTCATGTCGTTGCTGTTCACTTCAAACACGTCCTCCTGCTTCCTGATGTCCAAAGTCCCGTTCACCACCAAGTATAGACCGGAAAACTCGCTCTGTAAAGATAGATATTTAAGTATTTTATTTCCTTTCTGTCCATCAATCAGACAGCTGTCAGCCTGCTTTTTTTCCAATACTATATTGTATTTAATATTTATCGCAACCCACGAGAAAGAGCTGGTCAGGGAGAGCCAGACAAGCCAAAAGCACCCAGCGACGTCGCATCTCAAAACGTACCTCGATAAACGTAGGTTTCCACAATCTGAACGCCACGTTGAGCTGAGCGATCTTTTGGCCTTCAGAAATCGAGCAGTTAAACGATTCAAACTTTGTGTGGCTGTCTTGCTGCAAAGGAAATTAAACACGTAAGACGGGTGCAGGAAGAGTTCAGCGATCTGTAGAACACGAATGTCATCACTCACCAGCAGGTAGTTACTGAGCGTCTCTTTTTCCACTTTCACCTCTTTAACCTCTGAGTTAATTTTAAAAAGATCGATCTGTCCTTTTGTGTCACACATCATCTGCAGAGTAGGGAGAAAACGACACGAACGTTGGTCTGTTTCTTCGCATACGCTTGCATATCCATGGAAGCACACTTACATTTGAGTAGGTGACGTCCGTCAGGTACAGTAACGTGTTCTTCCTCGGAGACTCAAAAGGATATTTCACTTCAAGGCCAAGGGTTGGAGTCACCCCGTCACGTAACTTTTCCACCTGAGGACATGTGAGACACAGAAAAGGAGTGGAATTCATATTACCGACACCCTGCGCCACATGTGAGCTAGAAGTTCTGTGCTTGTATTATAAATCATCCAAAATGATCACTGCGTGCAGATGTTACCGTGTAGGTGATGTTGACCTCTTCTCCAATCATACTGATGTCACTGAATTCCGAGGGGTACTTATCCTCTTGTGTTATTTCAATGTGGTTGTTCAAAGGCGACCTGAAAGGGACATCCTTTTTACATCCTTCACTTCTCAATCAGAGCTTCAGACGCAAAATGATGTGTCTAATAAAGTTATAGGAAATAGAACCAAAAGTCTAAAAAAAGTACACTCTTGAGGTCTTCCTAATTCCTTACAGTCCAACTTCACTAATGCTGAATAAGCCATCAGTCTATGTGCATTAACTTTACCTGCATTAACATATTTAGGCCACTTGCTGGCAGCACAAGATGCAAACAAAGGCAAATATCACCTTCCAAACATTTTGAAAGGATGTCAATACAACATTCATTCTTCTTTTAACCCCATTTTACAGCCTGAAAAGGGTCAAGGGTCAAACTATGTGTGAGAAACCCTAAATAACCTTAAAGTAAAAGCAATTAATGAATTCCACTGACTTTATTAATCAATAAATGTTTTGTTTTTTTGTTTATTCTTCTTATTACTTAGTAAATAAAAGCTGATATATTAGACCACGATTCTGCCACACCTGTCCTACATTACCAGCAGTGGTAATTACCAAAATCTTGTTTCTATAGTGGTTAATCCAGCAGTATCGATCAGCTTTTAAATCTAAATGACATTTTTAATACTAAAATACAATAATTGTTGTCGTTCATGAATTGAAAATGAATTTGAGTGGTTGAATGTTATGTGTTTATACATTTCCATATACAATCACATCATTCACAATCCCCAGACTACAAATCCAGATGACGGTGCCGTTACCGTTACATGCATGTTGGCGTGCATCGTAAGCTCCTGGCTTGGTTAACAAGGAGGGAAACACAGCACAATGACTGACTCTGTTGTGATACTAACACCTTTTTATTCCAATATAAAAGGAAATCCTAATATTATTATTATCATCATCAATAATATTGGAAACTTTTACTTGTCTGGCTAAAAAAAAGAAAAGAAAAGTGAATAATGTATCTTTAATGCAAAGGTGTCGATTCACAGCTACTCACTTTACATCTACTTTGAACGTGAGTCCAAGGTCATACTTGACAGGGATGGAGATAGTCGCTCTGTTGTCGTGCATGGTAGAGAAATCTTCTTCATTGTCACTACAAAAATACAATTTACATGCATACGTAAAATTAACAGAACATCCATCCACCATTTTGGACAATTAATCACAGAAATAAGCAGAAACAAATCTTTTTCATCTTTTTTTCCAGAATTATTATTATTATCCTGATGATGTGCAGAAAGATGGAGGGATCCTCTCACCTTGTAGCTGTCACGGTGAACTCAATTTCCTTCTGAAAATATTTGAGATTCACCTCAAATTTCACTGTTATTGTTTCCTGTGGATTTGACATCAAACCATAGGTTTAGTGAGCAGAGGTAAAGAAATATTGTACAGGTAAGATGTTTTACGGATCCTGCACAAGGCAGATGAAACTAACCTCTTCGTTGTTTCCCAAGAAGGGGTACCCCACCTCAATGCTCACTTCGGTGTCATTTACAGTGGTCGTCTTTGTATCTGGCTGAAGAGTTGTAGTCACAGAATTACACGCATTGCTTCAGTCCGTAAAGTCAAGTAGCGCAGAGAGAGGAGGGAAAGGGTTCTTACCTCTACGTTCACAAAGTTGATGTTTTGTGTAAAGTTGATTTTCACGTTGGTGTTATAAGCTTTGTCTTTGAGGTTTTTAACGGTGATATTCAAATAAATGATTTCCTTTTCTTTGATCAATTTACTGGAGAAGTACATAAAAAAGAAAAAGTCAGAACGGTTGGATGCGATGCGCACACATCAACACAAGGGTGCAGTCATACTCTGGATACTCTGGACTCGGCTGAATGACTCCAAAACTACGACTTACAACACATCAAGTAACAACTCTGATCTGAGAAAGAAATAGTACAGAATAACATTCAAGAAAAATATATATGTGTATAAATATACACAAACCCATTTCTGAAAAAGCTGCAATTCATTTAAATTCCTGTATTTAACTGAAACCGGTGCAAACACGGAAACAAATGCTCAAACTAAGATCTGTCATGCTCGTTTTTGGTTTTATAACAACGATATAATAATAATAATTCCACTAACCTTTGCTCATCACATTTAGCCTTCAGGGAGAGGTCAGGAACGCACGTCTGAGTTTTGTTTCCACAGTCCATTAAAGTAATCTACAAGACATTTTTAAGAAAATAACAAATTTAATATTTCCAAAAGCTGCATTTTTACTTGGCCTTGCAGAATGATGCTTGTACGAGTTCAAGATCTGTACATACAAGATGACTGCGTGACTTCACAACTACTTTGCAAGCCAATCGTGGTAAAGACTCAAACTCTCATAGCCTCATATTGATGTATGAATATACTCAGTCCAGTAGATAACTTGTGAAATTAGCAATAAGAATGAAAATAAGCTGCATGTTTGTTTGCACCCCTGAGAAGACGTGTTCCTTTAGATGACCTTCACTTCCTTTGCCTTTCCCCCCTGAGAGTGTTTCAGGCTCACAGTCGCATTTGTTCCCATTCCTAATAGTCTCCCACTGGACTGATAAGATCAACAGTATCTTCTCTCCCAAAAAGGATGGGATTGGAATATCATTTGCAGTGCAATGTCAAAAGAAAAACACTTCCGTTTGATAACTTCCTCTTCTCTGGGTGTTTGTCCCCTTCTCTTCCTGTCAATAACAATAACAGGAGAGGTCCCCATGACGCAGCATGAGGGGAGACGGGATCTGCAACATATGTGGTTGTGGGTTTACGTGTGAGCAAAGATAACAATGCGACTAATGCGTACGGGCTTTAAATGCATTTTCTAGTGCATGCTGAAGCTGAATCCTCCTGTGATGTTTCCCAGCTTTGTCGAGAAACATTACGCACTCCAACCAATAATCTGGGAACCCTCTTGTTAGAGGAAATATGCATGTGGGGGTGTGGGAAGATGGTCCTGGCTGCTGGTGCTGAAGCACTAATGGGGGCCGAAACTGAAGGATGGTAGTCAGCTGTTGCAGAAGCTAATGCACTGTATCAGCAGCCAGAAAAGAAAACCCGTGTCCTCGCTACGGGATTATAAAGACAGACCGGGGTCAAATTCTTCCTGTCTGCAACTTTAAATGTTCTGCTTAGTGTAACTAGTCGATTATTTTACTAAAAGAAACCATAAGTGATATAAGTGGTCTTACATTGGCATTGATGGATTTGGGAAGACTTTCATCCAGCACAGGACCTTCTTCATCAGCTTTTCCGAACTCCACAGACACAGTCAGAGGTCCTCGGAAGTCTAGCCGTTCCTGGGATAGCGGACGATGAGGCAAAGCAGGGAGGAAAATAAAAGGCAGAGGGAGAAAAAAAGTTAAGAACAATGGAGGACTTTAAGGTCAAAATTCACTGGCTGCTTTCTGACGCTGAAGCTTTGCTGCATCAACTGCAAACTGATTCTTTCAAAACAAATGTGGTAAAATGGTGAGTTGAACACTGAGCTGTGTAATGATATGAGGAATGCTTTCTTGGCACAGTTCACTCCCTTCAAGTCAATCACAGCTTAGATTGCACAGCATATCTGAGTACTGCACCTGACCTTTGTCACCCCCTTTTAGACACTATTTAAGGTCATCTAGTGGCTACTTCCATAATGCCCCTGTTTTGATTCTCTGGAAGAATTGAAGGTGTTTTCAGAGCAAATGAAGTCTCCAGTGTTGCTGTGCAGTCCTTGATAAAGTGTTTGCCGAGTCTATTTGCAACACTTTGCTGGAAAACCATTCAGCATTTCACTTTAAGCCAGGGGTGGGCAACTCCAGGCCTCCAGGGCCAGTGTCCTGCAGGTTTTAGATTTCACCCTGGGTCAACACACCTGAATCACAGGATATGTTGAGGAGGTCATTTAGCCATTTAAATCAGCTGTGTTGGATCAAAGACACATCTAAAACCTGAAGGACACCGGCCCTCGAGGCCTGGAGTCACTCACCCCTGCTTTAAGCTAAAAGAAATGTCAAACGGATGGTAGAGCAAAGGTCAGAGGTATTTGGATTGGTCCTCTGGGGATTATAAGAGTCAGCGTAAACTTTTGCTCCTGTCCATTTAGGAGATGTTGAGGCAGTGTTTTCACTGGTTAAAAGAAAGCATCATCATGGTGGTAGCAAAGTCCTTCATCAAAGCCGCCAAAAAAGCAACACTCGCTAGCGCCACGGACGTCAGGACAGACACAGGTTTGTGACAGTCTCTGCTACTGAGAAGAAAAGCAATTTACCAAAGTAACTGAGATTTATTTGTGTTTGTGCGATTGTGCAAAGCCTTCATATGATGGACACACGCAGATCCAGTTTGAAAGAGGTGTGTCACATTGAGGCGCTGCCTATGATGAAGTCCTTCTTGAGACCGTTCCAAATGCTGATTAAAACTCAAAGGACGCTGATGAAGAGCTTTTAACATGAAAGCGCCGCATTTACAATCAGCAACACTGAACTGCACAGACTGTGCCTGTTGCTTAAACAATTAGAAACCACACTGATTATATTTTTCAGAATTTCAGTCACTGATATTAACTTTATTTGTATTTTAACTGATGCTTTAGCAGAGACAAATTTTCTGTGAGACGGGTTCAGATCTGGATCCATCTCGGATTCAGGGGATATAGACACCGCGTTTCTTCCGTGCTTGTTAAATTCTCGACCTCTGCCTGAGGACAAGTGGGAAGTCTCTGGTCTGACTTGCACACTTGAACAGAGCAGGTATTCATACTCAACATACATAATAACAACAGCTGTTTCCAACGATTAGCTCCTCTTTCCTTCACTAAAGGGTTAGCCAGTCAGAGAAATCCATGGCTGGCACGAATGCCAGGAAGCAGAAGCTGCCCAAGAAGACGCTTGGTTTTAAAGTAGGTGGTACAGCAAAGGTTTAAAAGCTTTTAGCAGTTACAGGTAAAAGTAGTCAATGGATCACTACCTAATTCACTCTAATCACTGTTTCATCCTCACTCCTTTCTCTAAGTGTCTCCAGATAATTTATCGGCCAGTGCGGCACAAGGTTTAAACGGAGCATGCTTTGATCAGGACGGGGTCTGTTTCATGTTAGGTCTTCCTGCTCTGCATAGGACAGCTTTACCCTCCCTCCTCTCTGGCTAACAGCCCTAAAACACCATTAACATTTCCAGGAAGCCCTGAATATAACTTTCACTAATGAGCAGCACAGCAACAAAAGGAATCCACTTGAATGTTGTGTTTTGTAAATGCAGACTGAAAATAAAGTCAGACTTTGTACAGGTAAGAAAACACAACTTGCCGACATCATGAAGGTTTTCTCCATGCATTCTTTCGTTCCGTCCATGATGGTGAACTTCTCTGTAGTCCTGCGGTCATTTTTTAAATCTTTGCTAATAAATGAGGCCCTGGATGTGGCACGCAGACTGTCCAGTGTTATAGTATAGGTCATATCTACAAGACACAAGAAGTTTTGTGTTTTTTTAAATGTGGTTATAAAGAAGAAAAATAAGCGAGAAAAATTGCAGAATCAAGTTGGTTTGTTACATGACTCACTTGCAGTTGTTTTTACAGTCGGCTGGTTGGATTTGACTCTGTAGGTAAAGCACAAGTTGGTCTTCACACAAATAGATTTCCTATTGCCGTGTTCACACTGGTGCTCAATCTGCTGGAGGTTGACTTTAGAGGGGTTGAAAGTCATGCTGGCATGCAGCTCTGCAACATCTCTGGACCTGGTAACACAAATGAAATGCATTAACTACTAGAATACAAAGCACGCAGGTAACTGTGCGTGTGCAGTTCAAGCACTGCACATCCTGCACACAGTACTGCAACGAACCACAAAGTAGTACGTTATAGCAGCACGTTAAATAGATGATGTCACTGATGCAGTCAGAGTAGAATAAATAAGTTTTCACAAAGGAAGGAACTAATGCATCTTGAGAATAAAACTTGGCTTCAGTTCTCGGCATCCAAATGTTAAGCTTTCTAAAACAGAGCCAGCAGTCCTGGAGGAAGAGCCTGCCTGCTGCCAAATCCTTTTTAAACTCTAAGTCACTTGGGAAATGGAGTTTTCACACAGCCTAGTCGAAGCTCTGTCAGTAGAAGCTGTGGGAGAAAGTCTGCCTTGGAGGTTAAATCATGCTGTTGGCTTCAAAACTTTGTGGGCTGAGGATGTATGCTGCTCTCCAACTGTGAAGTATGTTGCGGGGGCTTTTAAAAGAGAAATCACGAGGAGGTTGATGGTCACCAGCCTACAACCCCAGTGGGACATGCACAGCTGTCTAAACCCTGATTAATGCAATGGAAAGTGGACATGTATGCTGTCTCTGGGCTGCAGCGCTGCTGCTGCTGTTAACGATTGAAGTGGAATGTGTGGTTTTTGCAGTGAATGTTTGTGAGGATGGGCCACGACTCACCAGAACAGCGAGGCCCCTCCCAGACCTCCTATAGTGATATCAGTGATTCCATCTCCATTTAGATCCATGACTCCATGTATGGACTGACCAAAGAATTTCACCTTTTCGCCATCGCCACCTGCAGGAATATGCTGAGGACACAGCAACAAACAAAGCAGGGAATATTGAGGCAAAATTGCAGTTAATTTAAATCCATTGTGGTTATAATAGTGATGCTAACTTGGGTAAACAGTATTTGCACAGAGCGGAAGCATCTGTAGCCTTATCTAAAGTATACTGTAATGAAAACAACAACAACAGATCTTTCAGTATTATAAATTCCATCTTCTCACCTGTACAAATTTCTTTTTGAGTGATTTCTGGTCTCCGTGATAGATGTAGACAGCCCCTCTGTGGTCATTTTCAAAAGGCGCACCAATCGCCACATCATTATACCCATCAAGGTTAAGATCTGTCACTGCTGCAATGGCTGTACCAAACCGGGCGCCGCATGGCTCGTTTTTATTGGTGCAGCCGGCTGATTGGAGCGTACAGCAGGACTGATTAATAGGCTTTAAAGTATACTCATGCTTAAATTTGTTATTCTGTAACGGAGGAAAAACAAAAAAAGCTATTTTATTTTGTGACTTTCAGCAGACGTCTGGCAAAAGTTATCCGACTGATCTTATTTTCTGTACCTTGAGCCTGTAGACGTAGACTCGTCCCTGCTCATCTTTTTCTGGGCCCATGTACATTGGAGCTCCAACCAACAGCAGGTCAGTCAAGGAATCCTTATCCACGTCAACAGTCTGAAGGACGCTGCCAAAGTAGGAACCAATCTGCACAAAGCCCCAAATCATCTTTCAGTGTTTACTCCACTGAATTCATTCAACTTGCACATTATATGCAGTAAGCAGTGAACCCAGAGAGCCCACATTAAGCCACAGACTAATATAATATAAACTAATATAGCTGAATGCTCACAAAGAATTTGGTGCATCTTGTCCTGAATATATAAGACATAAATATGCACACATTTACAGGCATAGTCATCAATATTTATATTATTGTGCTTTTATGTATTTATTTACTATTTATTGATATATTGTAAGCTATCTAAGGAGCTGGGAAAGAAAAGCGTCTGGACTTCTTTAAGTTGCTTGAAGACGTTTCATCTCTCATCTGAGAAGCTTCTTCAGTTCAGAACTGAAGAAGCTTCTCGGATGAGAGGTTGTTATATTACTGTTTAGTGTGTCTATATTAAATATGTTGCACATCACTTGTTTTGGGTTTTTTTTTTTGCATTATTTTATTTGTGTTTGAATCAGGCTGATGACTTGTCATACAGGCACATTTTGTAGCCATATTTTAAAAACTGCTCCTTTATAGCGCACTATGGACTAAACATAGTGTTGCTTGTGTTATTGGGCACTTCCTTTTGCCAGGAACGAATGGCCTGGAGCCACTTACTGACCACCTGCCCAACCAGTCCTTGGAGTTCTCTCATTGGCCAATATCCATGTGGATGTGTTGCTGGATTTTCTAAAAAAAAAACCTTTTCAGACTTTTTCCTCTACTGCGAGCTCAGCAGATGTAAACGAAGCTATTGTTTCTATAAATAATGGCTTATGTGAATGATGTGTTTTTACAGCGGCTCTGATATGTAAAACACAACAGCGGACAAGGTGTGTTTTCTATTAATTACTGTGTTTTGCATCTTTCCCTTTCTTTTATTATTTTCCTTAAAGACACATGTGTAATTAGCTTAAGATAGAAACTGCGAGTTACCATCTTTAAGCTTCTCACATCTCCAGTGCAAAAGCGCCCTGAGGAACTGAGGCTAGCCAAGCCTGCCAAAGACTCACCTGTTCTCCTTTCAGTATCTGCGAGATGACGATTCTGTTGTTTTCATCGAGTCGATAGATAACAACGCGGCCGGTGTGGTTGTAGCGCGGTGCACCTGTGATGTACAGCTCTCCCTCAGACGTGGATGCTGACTGCACATCATACCCTGTGGAGAGTGCATTTACAAGCACGTTTTTTCAATCCAAACAGTACGAACCTTCAGGAGTGTCACAAAAGTATCTGCGATTTACGATTTCTCTAGAAAAAAAATGCACCCTCGCTCTGTTTATGGGATATTTTTAATGCCTCCTCTGGCAGCTGTTTACTTCTGCGTGTGAGAAGGAAACTGTAAAACACTGGAAAGGAACACACACCCACTTAGAAAAGCGCACCGCAGCTCTGCGTGCTGTAGCCTGAGCATTCGGAACGAGCATGTGCCAACAGCTGAGTTTATAGTGTGCGAGCTACCAGCGCTCCATCTAATGACATGTTGATTAAATAACTTGATACTAAGATACCACGGCTGCTTCACGAGCCATAAAAGGCATCAGCATGGAGCGACGAGCCTGTGTATTATTATTTATGTGACACAGAGAACAGAATCTGCTTTTGAAGTCAGACAAATGACGTACCTATTTTCCCCCTCACAGCAGAAACTTCCATATTTATTCTGCAACTTAATTTTACATCAGAAACACTTAGATCAGATCTAGGTCAGTGGAACAAAAAAAGGTGTGTATTCCATGTATTTTAATTCAACGTGCTAATTTTTTTTTTAGCTTTAACTTGCTTAAGATTGATATACTTTAAGAAATTATTAACATATATAATCTAAATAAATAAATAAAGCGTACAGTCAAAGAAGAGGAGAAAACAGGAAGACTGTTAATCAGGCACTTATAAACATGAAGCAAAAATATTTTTGTAAACTGAAATACATGAAACCAAAGTTTATTCATCAAATTAATTAATTGCTAAAGTCATTTTTTAAATTTTATTTATTTATCATGACTTCATGTAATTCTTCAGACTCCCCAAATGCAATAAACAGAAGTATACACATACACGGCTAGTCCTGATTCTCCATATTAAGGGAAAACAGAGAATGTAAGCCTTTTTACTTTTAGGCTGCTTTAAATGAGATTATATCCAACAAACACAGATAGTACTTAAAGTGGCCTGTGGTGCTTTATAGCAAAGTAGGTCTGGATATTTAGATGGTAATAAAAGCATCATAAAAAGCAGCAGCAGCAGCAGCATTAAAACTATTCATAAATTTGGTTCCATAATTGACATAAATACATATGAGAAGCCAAAGGTACATATTATAAATAGCCTCCTGAGTAGATTTACATTTTTTTGCACTGTATTAGTAATGTTGTTAGAATATTTTATTCCTAACAAACTCTGACCCCTTCATTTTTAAGGCTAAATATGTATAATATGTAAATATGTTAAACACGTTTCACCAAAAAACATTTAAACAAAGTCTCTTTTATAGTAAAGGCTGCTATTTTGCATCTAACAGCACTAACGGGTAATGTAAGTACACAAGAGCAAGTGTTGTGCAGAGGAACTCACTTAAAGGTCAGTTATTATATATTTTTTTAATCCATGAAGACTTTAAATTTATACATCAGTGACATTTAAAGGAACTATAAATTTTATTAAGTTTCCACTCACCGAGGTACGCGGCCAGCCTTTCATTCCTAGCCTCTTTCAGTGGGTCAAAGAAAGCATCTTTCCCTGGAACCACGTCTCCTCCAGGAGTGTACATTACCACTGTCCCGTTCCATTCATAAGCTCCCACTGCTCCCAGTAACACACCTTCCTAAGGGAGACAACAGACAAATATGTGGTGGAAAAAATAACCCAATCCTTTATTTAAGCAAAACAGTGACTCCATAGTGTAGTGGTTTACACATCTACACTAACAAGCAAAATATCCCTATAGAAAATTTACTTTGAGGTAGACTCTGCATTTCATATACACTACTTAGCCCCTCAAATGTAGTGGTGGTAAGCAGCAGCAGAGTACAAGCATCACAAAGTTATATTTAAGTTCTGCACTTGTGTGAATGCTCTTCATCAGAGACCTTCAGGATCCCAAACAATCAAAGTTGCACCGCTGATGGGTGCTTTTCACAACTTTCTGTTATTATAGTTATTTGGAATTTGTTTGGTAGCAATATTATGCAAAAGTAATAATAAAAAAATGAAAAAATAAAATAAAAAATGATACTATGGCACAAATCCAGATTACTTTATTTTTAAATGTAAGAAAGAGCACTGACTTTGGCATACGACTGTGGCCTTTAAGTGCACATTAAGTGCAACTTAAAAGTACAGCTATTGATCCCATAATAAAATAACAAGCATATACGGTATATTATTTCAAGTGAATATATCTATCGCTCTTTTTTGTCCAGAGGAAGCACAGTTAAGTAATAGGAATGGGAGGGGTTGCAACAGGACATGACATCTTTCATTAGCCACAACAAAGTGCTTCGAGTGGCTCTTTCCCACTAATGACTGCTAAAGTGTGGCGTCACATGTTTAGGATTCGGTACTATGACTCAGCTTAGGAGCCAATTCAGAGTAAGAGAGAGTCAGAGGAGATAACAGCAGGAGGAGGAACATAAAAAAGGGGCGTTTTTTTATTACATGCAGGAAATAGATACTGAATTTATCCAATCAGCCTTCTGACTCAACATCCCTTACAGACTTTTCTGCTGTGTACATCTTTCATTTGCTTTCCGACTCACATACAGTCAGACACGGTATTGCCAGGATAACACAGTGAGCAATTCTCAAGTTTCCCAAAATTAACCCACAGAGCTGAATCACCAAACAGCTGTAGATGGACCAGAGATAACAATGTCGGGATGAGTTCAGCAGTTAACTTCCTTGCTGATGAATCCATGTCCGTGCAAAAGGTTCACTTTGAATCCACAGATAGAGCAACTTATCACTGCTGTGATCTCAAAATATGATTCATCCTTCAGCCATTTGGTGCGGTCTGGGTGCAATAAGTGATTTAGCAGGACCCAACTATTCCTCTGTAAACAATCTATTTGGTAGCAGTTTGGTGTATTAATCACACGTAAACAGTTGGACTGAAACTTACGTTTGAGGTGTGAGCACTAAACCCAGTTTGGGACATCTCCATCTGAATGGGGGAAGTGGAATTTCCACTTGTAGCTGAAGAAAGGGAAATTTCCGTTTAGCTACATGTACATAAACCACAGATAATCACATGTTGTCAAATCTGTTTTTACTTCGAAACATATAAAGAATATGGGTCTGAAACTTAAATATGGGTATCGTTTGAAATTTAGGGAAATATTTGTCTGTGACAGAACTGAAGTAATATCTTATGTTAGCTTAACATGAAGAGGAAGATAATCAAAACGATGGGCATTAATACCGTTTCCATGTGTGCCATTTAATTATTTCTAAAATGAATGTGACCAGTGAGGGGTGGGTCTGACTGTGAAATGCTAACGACTCATCAATCAGAAGTTGATAGCCAGTAAACATACCTTTTTCAACACACCCTGAAATGATGAACTGAGCCCACAAAGTCATTTATAGATGTCTGTGTCAACACGGGTTTGCTCATAGGGGGTTCATATGATTGTTGGAGTTTCCTCCATTATCGTGGGTATTCACAATAAAAAACACTCACTTTTGTTGTGAATTGGCGCTATATAAATAAAGCTGATTGAATTGATCATTTGCCTTAAATGTCTTAATTGTTAAATGTGTTCAGCATGTAGTTTTTATTCATACCTATTGGATCTATTTAGGGGGGCAAGGCTAGCTCCTTCCTGCTTTTGTCGGTCTTTGTCGAACTATTTCAACATCCATTTCTTTGACAAAAGTGAAACTGCTAATGTGGCTTCAAGAGCATGCATATTTTGTGTCTATGCGTTTACCTTCCAAGGCCAAAATCCTGCTTCCCAGTGTATCCACAATGTTCACTAAAGCAGCCTCATCAGACACATTGAAGAAGTGGTCTTGGATAGGTTCACTGGAGATATTCTGGATCTCTTTGATAAACTTTTGCACCTCTGATAGAGATTTGTTCTGGCGACCGTAGTCCCCCAAAACCTGTAAACGAGAAAGTACTTAACATTAACGGATAAACTATTCTGACCAAAAACTGAAACATCACAAAATATTTTGTACTCACAGCGATGCCAAATCTCTCAATGTCATCATGCTCACAAGCTTTGATGACCTTTTGTAGATTATAGTAGTCGTGTGATTCTCCATCAGTCACAATCACCATGACTTTCTTAACTCCAGGTCGTGCACCACGCTCTGGCATGAAGGCTTCCTCTCTGAAATGCAATTAACTTCAAAGTTACTCAGACAATCCTGACTTATGCTAGTTTTTTTTTCTGACAACACATCAATTGCAACACTATTTTTTTAATTTCCTCATAAGATTTGAATTCCATCATGTCTGAAAATTTATCTGCAAGGCCAACTGGAAGGCTTGTGCTATTTTTCTTCTAACAATCTGCCCATGACAATTGTCAAGCAGACTTGAAATGACAGTTTCCTATTCAAATATCCATTAAACCTTGCCAAACCAGAAAGACTCAATTATTAATTGTGGTCAACCGTTGCCGGGTTTGCCCAAATAAGACAGCTAATGTTAGGTACCTGGCAGTATCAATGCCCAGGAAAGTCATCGTCTTGGTGCCAGTGTGCTGAGGAAGGACTTGGACAAAACCCCGCAAAGCAGGCATGTTGTCAAACTGGCTCAGGTTGACCTGATGACTCACGGTCTCGCCATAAGACACAATGCCCACCTAGAAAACACGCATACATTCACACATTTAACATGTAAACTTTCTCCTACATTAAATTTCTCTCTATGTTCTTCTCTCCTCAGCTTCTCCCCCCAGACAGTCTGCAGAGGATGTGGCTGAGGTCTGGTGAGCTTGATATGACACAATGTTCTTTATACAGACTGCAGAGGACTTCAGCAGCCATGGAAGATTTGACTTCCAACCACTAGACTCCACAGTAGGAAGACTTTCCAGTGCTTCCCTGTGGAAAAGTCCACAAGCTGTGAGCCAGATCAATGTAACCATAAGAAAAACCCATTCACAGAGCGATCCAATTCAAGTGGACAGAAATACACTCAGGTTCAAACTTAGTGAGCGAGAGGCTGAATTTACTTTAAAGGCTGTAAAGTGCTGAGTTTATGAACTTTGCTTTATAAAGGGCATCTTACACGTGTGGAAAAATTACATAATGGAGCACAGTAAAGTCATTAAACATAATTACTAACTAATATAATCCTCCATTCATTCCTTTTCTATATCTGATTGATGTTACATAACTATTCCATTTATTCATTCATGTATGGCTGTGCAGCCTGCACTGAGCGCACGCATAAACCACTCTGCAAACGTCTATAGCCACTCTTTATTTCTTTATTTTTTGAAATGATGGATGGAGTGGGTAAAGGCTTTTTAAAAGTACTGTATATGCAAAGAAAATTGGCTTTTTTAGTTTGTTCTTTAAATAGTGCAACTGACTTGTGTCTGTTTAGGTCCGATCTCAAGTCTCCCAATGAACTTATAGAGAAACTCCTGAATACTCGACCAGGGGTAGATACTGTTAGATCCATCCAGCACGATCACAAGGTCCATCTCCTTCCCGCACTCTGGAACAGAGCCAAAAATGACATTTAATTAAAGGGTACGTTTAGTTTTCAGTTTCTCTCTGTAAGCACTAACAGGGGTGCTGAAAGCTGAGACTGGACTTTTTTCTTTTGCTTCTTTTTACTTTTGGCTAGTCTACACAAGCGTATTTGATTTGGTGATTTTTCTCCTAAGTAAGACATCAGGTTATGTAACACGTTCAGTCTGTTTCCTGTTTACTTGCGCCCACGGTAAACACAAGCTCCAATTCAAAATGTAATAACGTAGATCAGTGTGTGTGTGTATGTGTGTGTGTGTGTGTGTGTGCGTGCGTGCGTTGGTTTGTGTACGTATAAGTTGGGGTGAGGGGTTTATAGAGGGTAGCACAATGGGAGAACAAAATGAATATTTCTGTTACAAAATATGGACTTTTTTGTTTTTTTAAGGCTTCTACTTTTGTTTTACTAGGTTACATTACAAACATTATTATTATACAAGAAGAGAATCTGCTAGCATAATAGGAATAGTGAATACAGGAGAAGAACGTGGAGTGGGATGTTGTAAACGGACTTCATTCATCAAAATGTGAAGTTATACTGATCGTGTTGGACAACCTTGTTATTGTTGCCCATTCGAAATGTCTGCTGCACCTACCATACACGCCTAGTTTTTTTACTGACCATAGCCAAGCATAAGACATTATTATGTCATAAACAAACCTATGCATCCAGACCAAGAGTGGAAATGTGTGTGACAATGTGTCCATAAAATCAAAAGTATGATTTTTCTCTTTAGTAAAATTTGGGTGAAGAATCATTAGGTGACTATTGTGCAATTTTGAATAGGAGGAGTGAACTGTGGAGGGACAAATGGACCCATCGCCATCGCATGTCTTTCAGCTCAGTGAACTAGAAATCAGTTTTACTTCAAAAGGTGACAGACCTGTGTAGTCAATTTACTGCTGTGCATTGGTGGGTGGTAAATGCTGACAACAATTACAATTGCCATTATGTATGTAGCAGATAACACAAATAAAAAGGTACAAAAAAGTCATCCTGGTTTTATCATTTACCTGTGGAGGAACTAGAGTTGACGAGTTGTGAAATCTGTTGTAAATATTCATTTTAAACCTTCAAACTGTAGAAACCTAACAACTATGATTATATTAATTATAACAATTACTTGAGGCAAGACGTCTGTGTAGGAACAATGTAAGAACTGTATTTCTAAAGTCTTTTTGTTTCATTCAAAACTTTTTTTTACCTTCATTCATGATTTAGAGGATTAAATGAGTATGAGAAGTATACAATAAGTCTGTGTATATGATTATTTGTGGTAAAGTAACAGTGATTCAGAAAAACTGAGGGAATGAAAGAGAAAATGACTGTACGCTGTTTACTCTAGGGTTCTTTCAAAGCTGTTTCCATCCAGGGAAACGCCATGCAAGCCCAGTAAACTGTCTCCTAACTTGGGCATACAATGCAGCAGATGGGCTGGGCTGGACATGAGAGGGATGGGGGTGGGATGGGGGTGGGGTGGGGGGGTCGTCACAGACAAGTTTACATTAAGAAGAATGCTCTAATCTCTATGTTCGCTGAGGGAGTGTGAGTTTAAAGTCAGGGTCCTGGGTGGTACTAGTATGACGAGGAGATTGCTATCTCTCAACCCAGACAGACAACTTGTACAGACAGCGTCCTGTCTTGAGCAGATTTTCTGTACTGTACCTTGATATTTTGTAAAAGAGTTGAGGATCTGGAAGGAAGAGCTGACATTCGTACAAACTCCTGAGATGAAATGCTGCGGGCCGCACTTGTAGCCATACTGAGGACCACACGCCTGTGGAAACAGGACACACATGCATACAAACAAACAGAGACTCAAAGGCTGTGACTAGTTAGTTTTCCACTATTATGAGGTCATGGATGAGAGGAGAGCTACTGAAGACAGAAACAAAAAGGAAAAAACGACTCAAACTGAGGATGACATCAAGAGACTATTAAAACCCACAAGAGGTTGATTCAGACTGTTTCTCTTAAGAAAAGGAGAAAAGGAGACAGAACAGAGGAAAACTGCTAAAGGGAGCAGGCCTTTACTTAGAGGGAGGGGTTAAAGTGGATAGAAACAGTCTGGAATGGCACCTTTAATTTACAAGTAATTAAATCTGTTAAGTAACTGACTACATATTATTTTTGCTTCCAGATGATACCCCACGTACATCATCCACACATTTCCTTCTCATTCATAGAGAACAACAACTTCTCCAAAGAAAGCCTTATTGGCTACATCATTTACAAACTCGTGTCCTGGTGGATTAAATGAAGAACACTCGTTATCTTGTTTTTTAGAATTAATAAATGGGGCTGCATAGACTTATTCGGCCTGTATTTTTCATGTATTGATTATAAGATGTTTAGATTATTGATTTATGTGCTTCTATGTAATGTTTTCGTGGTCAATTAATATTTAGATACAGATTTGAGTTGTGTATTATGTGATATAGTTTGTTAATTTTTTGTCTTTCAGTGTGTTTCTGATAGCGTTAATGGTGTGTGATCTATGTATGTGCTTGGAGCAGGCCGTCACTTCTGTATGTTGATGAATTGCTGATCGTTGCTACCTGTGCTCATTATAGCTGTGACTACATGTGTATTAGAAACTCTGAGAAAAGCCATGTGCTGAAATGCTTCTGGGGTTTTTTTCTTGTTGCTGTGATAATAAAGATTTTATACAAGTAGTTGTGAGTACTGAAGTTCTTATTCAAAGACAATGCTAGTAATCCCAGAAACAAAGGCCTGCTTAGCATTAAAGTATCTCATTATTGCTAAAATGCTAACATTTGCTAATTAGCAAAACTGATAGAAAACCTGAGGCTAAAAAAACATATTAGTTGGAGCAGTATACTTATTAGGATTCATCCTTTGGGGACCATTCAGGTTTGCAGAAAATTCCATAACAATGCATGTAATAGTTCAGGAAAATCAGTGGACCACTGTGATGGCTCAACAGGCAGGCATAATGAGTGACACGGCTATAAATTAGTATTGTAAATGTTCAGTAAATGACTAAACACACATGCAGTCCAGCTGGTGATTAGATTGTGTTGAAATGTGTTACTAAACTCATTATTTGCTCATTATCATGTCATATGTTTCCTCTGGTAGCCTGATTTATACCAAATGTTTTGGGTGTTCCACCTTATAAATACAGACATGGTGTTGACATGTTGTGTAAATCACATTAAGGGTTTAAACTGCAGCTCCACCTCACATTTCTACATTAGATTTTCATACACGAACCATTCAAGAAGTTGCAAAAACATGCATTTACTGGCGCTGTAGTTTTGACACATTGGTGATCCTCAGGTTTAAATAAAGTTTTACTACAGTTCTTAAGCACAACCCTACATGTTTAAACACTTCAACATTACCACAATTGATTCACAGCATCCTGTTATGTTCCCAGGACACGGAGCCTGACTTTTCCATGGAGGCCAAAGGTTTAGTGAGTGTTCTGTAAATTCGCTGCTGAGTAGTCTTGCAGCAAATATGCAAAGATCAGTCCTTCTTCTTCTTGTCTATAGAAAATGTAGAGGACTTCCTGCTTACCAGAAATCCTCCTTTGGGATTCGTTACCAGTGTGCTTCCCATGGTCATGTTTTCCTTCACTTCACGCAAGTTGGGAATGGTTGTGTTTTCTAAAAAAAAAGAAGAAGAAGAAAAAACTAGATGATAACAGAGTGAGACAAACAGAGAGCAGCACAGCTGGGTAAATTTCTCGTTTTCATTTTCCCACAAGAAAAGTGCTGCCTATCCCAAAGAATGACATGAGACTAAATATACTCTGCTATATTACTTTACCATGTGGCCCCTCTGTGTGTAGCTTATGGCTATTAACTAAGAATATGGAGCACAACACAAATATTTTGTTGGTAAACAGCCTGTTTGTTGTGAAGGGGAAAGAATTAGGGGAATCATTAAACCAACCCAACATGTGTCTAAAATTAGCAGCTTGGGAATGTTTTGGATAGGAATTAGTTTTTCCTTCTGCAAATCTGTGAAACATGTCTTTTCAATTTTGAATGTTGCTCCCTGAGAAGTGATTTTGATGTGAAACAATTTCTGATAGTATGTGCAACAGATCTGTTAGCAGTTAGTGCGTTAAATTTTTACCCTATACGTCCTTTCCGGGTGGGTTTTTTCCCTCTATTTCCTTCCCACACTCACTAAAGTATACTAATAAAGGCAGCACAATTGGGCTCCCTGCTGACCTCAGGATGAAAAAAATCCTTGTCTTTCATAAACAAACTTTTTAAAACAACATTAAACTGTGATGTGGGTCTGAATTGATTTGGAAAGTGACCCATCCTTATTTCTTAACTCCAATGACACAGTTCAGGACCCTGCAGCTCATGATACCCACGTGGGACTGGAACGAGTGACAGACACCGAAATACAAGCTTTTTCCTCAGTAATGCTTGATAACAATCAGAACAAATTGGACCTATCAGAGCGCTGCTCCTGCTCTGGTGCTCTGCCTGTGATTTTCTAGATTGTGGATCTAAACTGCAGTGAGTTTTCACAACACTGAGAAACAGTAAACTAATTATTACTATGGCAAATCAGCTTCATAATCAGTCTTTGTTTTAAATCCATTTCCCAATTTCCTAGAATACCCAAACATTTCACATTAGTAGTTTTCAGTCACGGCTGATTGATTTAGTCAAAAGCAGGGCTGGTATTTTGTTTACTGAACACAAGTGAACTCGCTTATACACCTCAGAATTGGTTCATGCAGTTTATCTACAACATTTTTATCAGTGCAGTGGCTGCCGCGACCGATTGAAGTGTGTCTGCTGCCGCAGCCCTGCATGCCCACTTCTGATCAGATTGTTTTCAGTGGAAATCCTGGTGACAGACGTACCAAGATGAGGTGCTCCAACCTGTATTTGTGGCACTCATGCAGCAGTACTCCACCCTGCGGCTGTTTCAGGGCGACAATGCCCACCCCCACACTGCTAGAGCAGCGCAGGCCTTTCTGGATAAGAAGCACATCCGGACACTTCCTTAGCCAGCATTTAGTCCTGATATGTCTCCTATTGAACAAACCTGGCACATGCTGAGTCAACGTGTTCATCAGAGACAGCCACAGCCACTGACCACTGCACAGCTGCAGGAAGGGAGAGCAATTCCTCAACAACAGATCCGGACACTTGTATTATGCGTTCTCAGATGGGTGACTGCTTGTATCATTTCAAATGTCTTCTGCGTGCATATATATAAAATATATAGATAGATAGATAGATAGATAGATAGATAGATAGATAGATAGATAGATAGATAGATAGATAGATAGAT